AAACTATCTTGCAACTTTTTAGACAAAGGAAAAACATTTTCTGCGTAAGTATTGCCAGGAAGGGAAACACTCCAAGACCTCCTATTGTACTGTTTTCCTTTTTCTGATTGTTTATCCAGATTTCCAGAGTTAGTCTGTTCATTCGCTGTGTGTGAACAGATTAAGTGCTGCTTTTTCAAACTAGGTTGAAACTCCAATAGATTTACTGTGCAATCATAACTCTGTGATTTAACATCATGTTCTGAAATGGCTAAGTACTGTTTCACATCTTCAGCTGCTTCGTCAGAAATCACAGGTGGTGATCTTTTGGGTTTGAGAGGAAGCTTAGATCCATCATATGGAAACCAAGGAATAAATCTTGATAGAGGACGAGTAGTAAAGTCCTGAATTGCCTTTTCTGCAATTTTTGGCAGTTGTGTGGGATCACTCTCATATGGTCGATAATGTAATATTACTTCTGTAGTCATTCTGTAGTAATCCAGTTACTCTTAACGAAGAGAAAATGTTTTAGCTGAACTCCTCAGACCTAGAATGTAATTTATTATTACAAGACTGTCTCTCATGACAAATAAGAAGGAAATAGGATCTAAAGTAGAAGTATTGTAAATAATAAAATATGGTAGGGATAACCTACAAATAGGCAGGGATAAAAGGAAAAAGAAATACAAAAACCAATCCCAATAAGATGTTTTACCAAAGGGCTACTGTAAATATGAATGTAATCCACAAACTTGAAAATCCTCCCTCTCAACCAAAATAAGGGGTCTGAATTACATGCCCTATCACTTCCAAAATAAAAATTCTAGTAGTCAACATGTTTAATTCAACAGAAGGACGAGGACGTTGGAATATATTAAGTAATAACAGTCCTAAGACTATAGCATAAAGAGTAAATTACCTATTCTTAAACTACAGGAGTCATGTGAAGCCAACAAAAATATAATATTTAAACATTTGGGATATCTGAATTAAGGACAATGAAGTCATTATAAATTTAAATCTATCTGGAAGAAAATTAATTTTAGACTTCAAAATTTTATAAATTTTACCAAATCAATTATAGATAGAACACTTTATCTCATTCATTCTTAGTAATACATACTAAATACATGAATGTGGCTTAATGTTGCATTTTAACCAGGCTAAGAACTGGTTTTGTGACAAAATCTTCTCTGTGTAACTTGGATAATAATGCAGTATTGAGACGCTAGTACCATGGCTTCTGAACTCCAGTTTGGATGAAGAACAAGAAATTTAGCCTCTTATTTTTCTTAGAACACAGAGTCTTCAAGTTGCATCCAAATTAAGTCATTGATAATAAATTCCAGCACATAGTACATACGTTTGAAATGGAACTTTTCAAGATCTGTAAGTTAGGCTTCCCAACCAGGCCTAAAGCTCTAGGAGCCATAATACAGGCTCTTTCATATCCTAGAAAAAAATAAGAGGCTGAATCTCTTCTTCTGACGTATCATTAAAAAACTACAGCCCATTGCCAAAATGACTGTGAATGGCAACTGCAGTCATGATGTCACAAGAGAACCACTAATTGATCCTACAGTCAGAAGTGACTAATCTCATACTGATTCTTTTTACCTACTTGTAATGTCCACTAACAGATTTAACCACTCTCCAATTAAAAAATGACTGTAATCCTTAAATCCATAATTTTTTTTTTTTTTTTTGCAGTTTTTGACCAAGGCTGGGTTTGAACCCACCACCTCCAGCATATGGGGCTGGCGCCCTACCCCTTTGAGCCACAGGCGCCGCCCTAAAATCCATAATTTTTAATATTAATCTAAAAAAGTGATAATATTCTTTGAAGAATTAATTATGTTTTAATTTGTTTACTTCTTCCTTCCTTACACTTTCACATTATAACATATGGCATGAAGAATGCTGGCTGGGTGCAGTGGCTCAGGCCTGTAATCCCAGCACTCTGGGAGGCCGAGGTGGAGGATCACTTGAGCTCAGAAGTTCAAGACCAGCCTAAGCAAGAGCGAAACCCCATCTCTAAAAAATAGGCAGGCATTGTGGTGGGCGCCTGTAGTTCCAGCTACCTGGGAGGTTGAGGCAAGGGAAACACTTGAGCCAGTGTTTGAGGTTGCTGTGAGCTATAAAGCCACAGCACTCTACCAGGGGCAAGACTGTCTCAAAAAATAAATAAATAAATAAATAAAATAAAATAAAAGCTTTTATTTTTGTCTTTGCTTACAACTAAAGTTGTAAGAGTTCCTTTTAAATAAAAATTTTCTCCTTTCAAGAGTAACAAAATATATCTTAACATTTTAAAATATAAATATATATATTAAATCATATATTATTAAGGTATAAGTAATATATTACGTATGTTAAAATACAAGTAAACTTAACCATTTAAATCGATATATTGGCATCCAACATCAATAAAATAAAAACTTTTATAAATTCTTGTAAGAGCAGGGAATATGCAGCCTTCTGATTTCAAGACTGCTCCTTTTTAAGTACCAAAGGAGACAAGAAAAGCTTCATCTTTCTATGTTGCACCTCTTCAAATAAAAGCATTTGTTATTAAAATTTGTATTCTCTCAAAAGGCTGCACTTAAGGACCTGGAAGGCCATAAGTTACCTTAGGGCTGTAGGCTTCCTATCCACCAAAGAGGTTTATTAAAGCTAAAACTATCAGTGAATTTTAAAGTACTTCACTTGACTCTTTAAGCTGGTTAAATACTTGCCTAGGTATCTACTGTTTTAAAAAATAATAATAGAAAACCAAAACACTTCCAATGGTAGTTAGTCTCCTGGAATTCACTGGAATTCAACTGTGTTTAACAACTTCTAATTTGTATAAATCACACCTAGCAGCTAATAGAATTGTTTAAATTTTCATCAAAGTAGTCAATAAAGGCCAGACCTGGTGATTGTGCTGTAATCCTAAGCACTCTGGGAGGCCAAGGTGGGGAGGATTGCTTGAGTTTAGGAGTTTGGCTTGAGCCAAAAGTGAGACCCTGTCTCTACAAAAAACAGAAAAATTATCATAGCTGAGCACACCTGTAGTCCCAACTACTTTGAAGGCTGAGGCAGGAGGATCACTTGAGCCCAGGAGTCTGAGATTGCAGTGAGCTATGATGATGTCACTGTTCTGTAGCCAGGGCTAGAGAGCGAGTTTCTCCCCCCCCCACGGCCCCTCCCCCCCAAATCTGCTTCATGTTTCAATCATTAAGAGGCCACATGGCATCTTGGAAAGATGGAGGCAGGCCTTGTGTTATCATACTGCCTCAATCACTTACTAGATCTGTCATCTTGGAAAAGTTGCTTAACATCCAAGAGATAAGTAATTTCTATCCTACATACTTGATGTAAGATTAGAAAATACAAAACATGGCAGTTTATTCCTTCTTTTTCCCTTTTCTCCATGAGTAATAATCCATTTTAGATCATTAAGCTAAACTTAAAGATCCCATCGTTCCGCAGTCAGAGACAGTCTTGATAACTCCAGCCATTAGTATATGTTATGTTAAAAAATGGGACTGATGAGCTTCTGGAATGTTTGATGCCTACATCATAATGGAAAGGGTATGGAGTCTTTTAAAATGGTTGCCATTAGGAAGTGCAATTCGACTGAATTCAAATATATACTGAGCATTTCCTCAGGTCAGTCCAAGAAGGCATTGTTAACTACACCTTGGAGCATTCAAGAAAAAAAAGTGCATTTGTGGTAGGAGAAAACAGATGAAATAAAGCTGAAACCATGTCAAATAAAAGGTTTTCAGAAAACAACAGCAATGCCAGAAAATCTGTCTTGCTGGTTTTCTCTTAAATAATGGCCAATTAAATTATCAAATTATTCAAAATTACCTTGCACAAAAAGCGAAAGTTGACATGAGATTTTTAAATGTATTTCCCACACCGAAGCTGCAGTATGTTTGAACAAATCTACTTTATATGTCGTATCGCTATGTATTGCTAAAGCGTTGGCACTTTTGTTACGCAATACTAATTTTACAGATGAGGCTAAAGCTTGATAACTTCATTAGTGCCACACAAAGAGGAGAGGACAGGAGGAAAAATCACTTTAGATCTGTGCTGTTATTCATCCGCATTCACAGAGATCTCTCGGGTAGGACAGGAGCGTCAACTTCGGCGGTTACAATCTGGTGACCGCAGGAGCAGAAATCAGGGAGACTATCCCTATATAAATTTACCAAATGTCTATAATATTTCGTTCTAGAAGGTGGTTCTTAAATCTAAAAAGCAAAGACGCTAAATCGCTTCCTCCAGCTTGGCGCCAGAGGAGAATGCAGGAGAACGAGCACTGACAGTATTTAAGACAAAACTGGCCTACGTCTTAGAGGTAGCGTATCAAAAGCGTCGGAAAACAACGACAGAAGAAAAGAAAACAGAGTAAAGGAAACTCAGGTTCGCAAAGTTTACCTTTCAGCGCGAGCAGGTGCTCCTGTTTGGGGGGATTCACTTCCATTTTGACCAGCACCTTCTTTGATCCACAGCCTACGGGGGCCGACGAGGTTCAACTCAGCCGGAATAAAACGCACTCTGTCGGTGGTTCCTTAAATTCTTTTTACTATGTCCTTTACAGACCCAATGGCTTCTTTTCACCAAATCCAACCCTGGTCTCTTACAGACCTTTATATAAAATTCTGTTTTCCGTCCACAATCACACATCAGGACTATAGGAAACCACTCCTTAGTAACAACGCCCAGCCCCACAAATGCCCGAGGGAAAAAAGACTAGGAAGTGGCATGCTGGGACTCGCATTGCATGCAGGGAGATGTAGTCCCCCCCACCCCATCAACCACAGTAAATCATTACAGGAGGGAGTTTCACCCCAAAACTTTGATTCTGTTTCGCCCCTTCTCTTTTCCTTGAGGATGTTTCTTCCATCAATTGCAGACTCCTTAATAAATTAAAAAACGACAGTGCCATGCGCAAGGCTATGCAACCAAAAAGCCGGCGACTGGCGGGAGGAGGAGCGAGGAAGTCCAACGGCGCCGCAAGCCACACTGCGCCTGTGCGCCAGCAGCGGGCGCCGAGGCTTCTGGGTAGGTGGCACGGCCCCGCCTCTCGGTTGAAGGCTCTCGCGGCTGCTGCTGAGGTCCTGCTCTTCCCAGGATGGCTACCCTGGTTGTAAACAAGCCAGGAGCGGGACTAGACAGTGGCCGGCAGGGAAGCCGGGGGACGGCTGTGGTGAAGGTGAGGGAGTTTGCGTGCTCTGTTCTCCACCATTGGCCTCCCTTCGGTTCATCCTGGAGACATGGCGACATTGCCGCGGGCCGGGCTTGGATGGGCAAGGATGCGCGGCTTGTAGGCTGATTTTTGGCTTTCCAAGTCTTGCCCTTTGCTCCGCGAACCTTATTTTCGCTAGCCTGAAGTTGGTTGATCTGTTCATTCCAGATGTCAACATTAACAACGAGGATATTTGTGAAAAGGGGGCATAAGGCCCTGTGGGAGTGACCTGGACCCGTCTTTTTCCTGGTCCTCCTGCTTTTAGTTAAACTCAACAGGCATAAATTAACTTATTGAGCCGTTATCATCTTCAGGTACTACGTTAGGTGTTTTAGCTTATTGATATCTGCGTATGGAGTAGATGTTAATTCCCATTTTACAGTGGGGAAACCCAGGTTTAGGTTAACAGTGTGTGGCAGAGTCCCAATTTGACAGGAGAGTCTTTTTCACTTTTGGATTTCTGTGACCAGCCATTGGTTATTGGTTAAGCCGCCCTCTTGCCTTTTAGTACAGTCTAACATCACTTTTCAGAAGTCTCCAACTATGGCATAGTTGGGCATTAATACTAGGGTTTATGAATTGCCTTATGTTTGAAGCTTGAGATTCTATCATGTATAAATGCTCCACAGTGCATTTTTTAAAAGCTCAATTGAAATAAGTGGAACTCATTTTTCTCTTCTACTGTATGTACGGAAGGATCTGGAAAGAAGAACTAATCTTGGTGGTTTATAAAGTAACATTCAGGATAATCTGTAATCTAAGAGATTTGATAATTCTTATCTGGCTGCATATTGGGACCATCAAGGACTTTTAGAACACTGCTGATGCACTCCTTCTCCAATTCTGATTAAGCTGACATGAGTATATTTTTAAAATTCCCAGGAGTGATTTTAATGTGCAACCAGAGTTGAGAACCATGGAACCAGCTAATATTGGAAGTTCTTTTATCATCTTGGATAATAGGCACCTATGATTTTTCACTTAATGTTGGTTTTATATGCTTGCAACTTGGTGTCTCATTGTTGCAGGTTGTTAATTCAAATTGACCTTTAAATATTAATGAAATTGTTCTGAAGGTATACAGCTATCTGAGATGCAGAGTAGCCCTCATTATTAGGCATGTTGTATGGTTGAGATTTATTTATTGAATTGTGCTTTTGCTAAGTAGAAAATACCTGCAGAGTATTTTGTGAATTGAAGTTTTAAGTGTTATTTCATAATTTGAATGGTTTTCATTGTGATTTCTATTTTTGCTACCTTGTTTGCCTTGTAATTTCAAGTGTGTACCAAAGACTTGTATAACTCCAGTTTGTTATAGGACAGAATTTGATATATTGGAGTCCACCTTGTTCATTCTCAACATGTAAAATGTTCCTGAACTGTGTGCTACATGGTAGTCCTTTTTTGACAAGATCTTCGTGCCATAATTTGTAGTATATATGGTGGAATAATTTTTTTACAAAATCTCATTCTCATTTTTACAAATGCAAGCAAGAAGTATTTACTGGAAGATAAAGGTTGAAGTATATAATGCTAAGACTGTGTAAAATGGCCTCTTGCTTGATGACCAGGTTGATGATGATAGCGTTTTTGTCATTAAGGAAACTAGACACAAAAGTCTGATATTGTGAAATAATTTACATTTAAAAAGGAATCAAAGAAAGTTTCTTTTGCATAGTGAGCCTTCTTAGTCATTTTAAAATACAGTTTATTAAGGTTTGTTGATTTACATGTAATAAGTTTGAAGCTTTCTTTGCCATTTTTACAAAGTATAAAATTAAAAGCTTTTATGCTGGGCAGCGCCTGTGGCTCAAAGGAGTAGGGCACTGGCCCCATATGCTGAAGGTGGTGGGTTCTAACCCAGCCCTGGCCAAAAACTGCAAAAAAAAAAAAAAAAGCTTTTATACTGTTGGTCACAATTCCTATTCATACATGCTGAGAAAAGAACTTCTTGCTCTATTATTTACTGTGTTGATGGAATATAACTTTATTTTTGGACTCCTGTATTTATTTTACTAATCAATGAAATTTTACTAGTGCTTTTTGAAAAATCTGTGGTAGCAGAAAAAGTTCTTTTATCTTTTTTATTATTTTTTATTGGAAAACAAATATACAACTTGGAATGGATTTCTTTAAGTGACTAAACAAAGCTTAAAGCAAGTAACAATAAAAGAAAATGTTTCTGGTGTAGGACTAGCAGTATTAAAAAACAGTGTACAAGTACCTGGATATTACATTCGTTTTGCAATAGTGCACCTTTTAAGTACATATTGTTGACTGTCCATAGTCCATGCTGTTACAACTCAACACATCAACAACAACATGCTGACAGTTCCTAAAAAAAAACCTACTTAAAAGAATGCATAACCCAGATGTTCCCTCATTTGACCAACTCCAGCTAAGTTTAGACGTGCAGAAGGGCTTAGAGGCACCCTAGCCACTTGAGCCACAGGCGCCGAGCCTGAAGTTAAGTTTTTAAGCAATTTCCTTACAACTACCTAACCCCCAGTAAGCCATCATTAACTTTAAAAAAAAAAAAAAACTAAAATATGAGCTGAGATGACAATTGCTTTTGTAATATGATAAGGAACTTACTAACAAAAGACTACAAGTAATTTCATATATCTTCTAATCTCCATTTGCATCAAATAATGTAAAGAAGAAAAAGTAATCACCTTAAATTTCAATTCCCATTCTCTATTAATAGATACAGCTCTGGATTAGAAAATATTTTGTCCAGTTACAGGTATGTAAAAGCTATCAGAATCTGATTATTTTGATTCTCAGGTCCATAAGTTTGTTTTGTAAATAACAAACTGTATTTATAGCAATAAAGTATTTTCAGTGCTTATCTGTAAGTACATCTATAGTGTTTCACAATTATAATCACTTAACTTTTTAAAACAAATACTTACACCAAACTATTCAATCATAACCCAAACTCCTGTGTCTGTCATTCAAGACCTGCTGCAATCTGACCCTGTCCTACTACTTCCCTGACCACATCTTTTAGACCCTAACGTCCAACTATATCAAACAGCTTACATTTAGTTCCCAGAACATCACTGTTTCATGACTTTTTTCCTTATGCTAATACTGAGAAAATGAACATACAATCCATCGGACCCCCAGCTACTTTGGATAAGTGTCTACTATAACAGCCAAAACACCTTAATACCTTTATTGGTCTTTCAACCTGTTTTTCCCTGTTAAACCAAAGAGCCTTCAAGAACAGGGTATTCCTAATACCAAGCACCTCCTATATGCTTCAATAAAGTCTAAAAAAATTAAAAATAAAAATAGACACTTAGGATCGGAAGGGAGCAGTAGGGTAGAATCTAGACTAAATCCCTTATAATTTTATTTTATTTTTTTGAGACAGTGTTATTTTGTCACCCTTGGTAGAATGCCATGGCATCTTAGCTCATGGCAACCTTAAACTCTTGGGTTCAAGCGATCCTTGGGTTCTAGATGGGATTACAGGTGGCCACCACAATGCCCAGCTATTTTTGAGAGACAGGGGTCTCACTCTTGCTCAGGCTGGTCTTAAACTCGTGAGTTCAGCCAATCCACCCCCCCTTGACCTCCCAAGTGGTAGGATTAGAGGTGAGCCAATTACACCCGGTCTTCCATTACAATTTTAAATTTAACCCTGCAATTATTTTGGTCTTAGCACTTCAGATGTACACATCTTTCACTGTAAATAAACAGATAATTTATAATTGCCTTTTATTTTGGTATGGTTCAAAAGAAACTAAAATGTTTCTTATTGTGACATAGGTCACAAAAAAGGAAATGAAATCAACTCTTCAAATACATGAAAAGTTGTTCCACCTAATTCATAAAAGAAATACAAATTAAAGCAAATTATGATACATTTCAGATTAGATCTGAAATCAGATTAAAGCTGAAGGTATGGGAAAGCAGATATTCTTACATATTGCTGATTGCTGTGAATTTTTTAAGTGATACAGACTCTGTGTGTGCAACTAACCTCTAAAGCTTAAATAACTCAATAATTTCAGTTGTCGGAATTTATCCTACAAATATATCAGATGTGTGACAAAATCTATAAATTATTCCTAACACCACCATGTGTGTTAGGAAAAGATTATAAACAAAGTAAACATGCAGCAGTATCAGACTGGAAAATAAATTATGGTATATTCATATGCTATAAAACTACACAGACTAGTGAGAAAGACTTGGGAAGTTTTTTATGCACACATAATGATTTTATATGAATAAGGCAAAGTAAAAAGTGATAAACAGAGCATATTCACTTTTATGTAAATGCAGAGAAAGACAACGAATAATTTTAAATATTGTTATATAAGCATCCTATCTTTCTGGAAGTATATACAGGAAACCAATAACAATGGAACATGGATACCCTATGAGAAAGAGAAATAGATGGAAAATAGCTACTCAGAAATTCTATTTATTACACACACATATATATATTTCAACTTATCCTATATTTTTTACAAAGAGAAGAAAAAAATTCACTTTATGAACTTCAATTATATACAGAAAAGGTATTCATAATACAATCAGATATTATAAATATATTTTTATAAATGCTCTCATTATTGTGATACTATAACAAATTAAACTTGTTTATGATAATAAACTTTCAAGAACCAAATTAAAATTTTTCTTAGTTCATTCATATCTTTTATCTCTGACACCATAACTATGCAAAATAAAAGAACCTGAATTAGTCTGAGTGGAGCAAGGGAGGCAAGTGGTTGTGTGGTGGCCTCTCAGTAGCATTTGCAGCATGGCTGACCAACTGACTGAAGAGCAGATTGCAGAATTCAAAGCATTTTCACTATTTGGTTAAGGTACTATAACAACAAAGGAATTAGGAACTGTAATGAGGTCTCCTGGGCAGAATCTCACAGAAGCAGAGTTACAGGACATAATTAATGAAGTAGATGCTGACAGTAATGGCACAACTGACTTTCCTGAATTTCTGACAATAATGGCCAGAAAAACGAAAGACAAAGACAGTGAAGAAGAAATTAGAGACACATTCCATGTGTTTGATAAGGATGGCAATGGCCATGTTAGTGCAGCAAAGCTTCACCATGTGTTGACAAACCATTTGCCTTTTCTTCATTTATAACTTAACTGTTATTGTCAAAAAATATGCATGTATAGTAATTAGGGCTTCACTCCTCTGTGTTTTCTTCCTTTATCCTTATCTTACTCTTACTGTCCTGAAACGTTATTTTAGAAAAATGATCAAGTAACATGTTGCACGTGGCTTACTCTGGCTTACTCTGTGGCTTACTGTAAGGTGGCAGGTTCAAATCCAGCCTGGGCCCGCCAAATAACAATGATGGCTGCAACAACAAAAAAAAATAGCAAGGCGTTGTAGCGGGCGCCTGTGGTCTCAGCTACTTGGGAGGCTGAGGCAGGAGACTTGCTTGAGCCCAGGAGTTGGAGGTTGCTGTGAGCTGTGATGGCATGGCACTCTACCCAGGGGGACAGCTTGAGGCTCTGTCTCAAACAAACAAACAAACAAAAAATTTAACTTCAATAGATAGATGTTGTTTTTACAGATTCAGATGTAATGAGTCAAGATGTGTTTTTCAAAAGATAAAGATGGTGTTAGTCTGGGCGCAGTGGTTCATGCCTATAATCCCAGCATTCTGGGAGGCTGAGGTGTGCAGATTGCCTGAGCTCAGGAACCTAGCATGAGCTACAGTGAAACCCCATCTCTTAAAAAAAAAAAAAATAGCTGGGTATTGTGGTGGGCACCTGTAGACCTAGCTACTTGGGAGGCTGAGACAAGAGAATCGCTTGAGCCCAAGAGTCTAAAGTTGCTGTGAGCTGTGATGCCACAGTACTCTACCAGGGGCAACAAAGTGAGACTCTGTCTCAAAAAAAAAGGATTATGTTAATTTATAATATTATCTTTGTCCCTAATGGTTAATATTCAAGGAGATTTGACTATGATATCATTTTGGCAGGGTTTTTGAGATGGATTTACTAAAAAGTGATTTAAGGTATTATAACCTAGATGGGTTTTATTTTTCATGGAGTGATAATAATGTTGATTCAATGTATTAGATTGGCTTTCTTTAGAACCTAAAATATGTTTTTAAATTATTTAAATAACATGTCACATGTTTCCTTTTGAAATATTAGGTGTTGGAGTGTGGAGTTTGTGAAGATGTCTTTTCTCTGCAAGGAGATAAAGTTCCTCGCCTTCTGCTTTGTGGCCACACTGTCTGTCATGACTGTCTCACCCGCCTACCTCTTCATGGAAGAGCAATCCGTTGCCCATTTGATCGGCAGGTGACAGACCTAGGTAAGAAAATTATTTGTATGAATTTAAGATTAAAAATTAATCACGTAATACTAATGTCATAGAAAATAATTTCTTTCCACTTGGTTTTTGAGATGATAAAATTCTAAGGTTTCAGAAAGCCTCAGTTTCTGTTAAGGTCAATAGACTACCTGTAAACCATTTCCCACGCTTAGTTACTACTTTTATTTCATCTTCTGAGGTATTTATATTCAATACTTATATGTAAAGGGCTTTAAGACACCTGGAAAAACCATGTTATACTTATTTATTTATTTTTTTGAAACAGAGTCTGACTTTTTCACCCTCAGTAGAGTGCCATATTGTGGTAGCTTTCAGCAACCTCAGACTCTTGGGCTGAAGTGATCCTTTTGCCTCAGTTTTTCTTTTTTGGTAGAGATAGAGTCTGGGCTGGGTGCGATGGTGGCTCATACCTTTAAATTGTAGCACTCTGGGAGGCTAAGGCAGGTGGATTGTTTGAGCAAAAGCAAGAACCTGTCTCTAAAAAATAGCTGGGTCTTGTGATGGGCATCTATAATCCCAGCTACTGGGGAGGCTGAGGGAAGAGAATTGCTTGAGCTCAAGAGTTTGAGGTTGCTGTGAGCTATGACGCCACTGGTACTGTACTGAGTGTGACAAAGTAAGACTGTCTCAAAAACAAACAAACAAAAAAGTAGAGATGGGGGGCTCTCATTCTTGCTCAGGCTGGTTTTGAAGTTAGGGTTCGGGTTAGGCTGAGACAAGAGAATCGCTTGAGCCCAAAGTCTGAGGATGCTGTGAGCGTGATGCCACGGCATTATACCAGTGATCTGCCTGCCTTGACCTCACAGGAGTGTTGGGATTACAGGTGTGAGCCACCACTCCTGACCTATTTAAAGAAATAAAATTTTTCAAAAAATAAAAATTAAAAAAAATTAATTTTTTAAATTAATTAATTAATTTTCTAATAATTGGCCTATATCCATTAACCCAACAAAACAAGGTTTTCTTTACAAATGAATGAAGCTGTAATCAAAATATAAGTTAGTTATTTGAATCTCAGTATGTTTTTATTTATAGACATCTATGACTACTTATTTTCTGTTAAGATTAAAGGTTTTGTGAATTTTTTTTTTTTAGTTTCCTGTGATACTTTTTTTTTGAGACAGAGTCTCACTTTATCACCCTCAGTTAAATGCTATGGTGTCATAGCTCACAGTAAGCTCAAACTCTTAAGCTCAAGATTCTCTTGCCTCAGCCTCCTAAGTAACTGGGACTACAGGAGCTTGCCACAACACCCAGCTAGTTTTTCTATTTTTAGTAGATATGGGGTCTTGCTGTTCCTCTGGTTAGTCTCAAACTCATGACCTCAGGTAGTCTACCTGCCTTGGCCTTCCAAGGTATGAGCCAGTGCACCTGGCCTCCTGCTGTACTTTTAAAACTTTGCTTTGTATATTTCAAAATCAGTTATTGCTTTGGGATACCAGATTTAGAAATAATAACATTTATTACTATTTGAACAATTATGTATAAATATAAGTTGTGCAGGCTGACTGTTTTTGATGCGGGAGTTTTTTCCAAACTAGTGTCAGATTGACTTTTTTTTTTTAAAGGTCAGTAGTACCACTTAACACCATTTTAATGTATTTGTTCTATATGTCAAGTGGAATACATTCAAAATAATTTATTCATTTTTTTCTTTTTTATGTTGCTAGTTTATTACAAAATATATTATATGAACCCAGACACCATTAAGCATGTATACCATTTAGGAATATTACCCTAGGGTGGCACCTGTGGCTCAAAGGAGTAAGGTACCTGCCCCATATGCTGGAGGTGGCGGGTTCAAACCCAGCCCCAGACAAAAACTGAAAAAAAAAAAAAAAAAGAATATTATCCTAGATCAGTGTAACCACAACAGAGGCTAAGATAAATAACATGCCTTAGGGGCCCCATGGCCCTCTCCACTCTCATGTCCTCAAAGAAATGGCGTGGCCAAAGTAATTTATTCATTAAAAAGGGAAAAAAAAGTACCCATATTTTTAGGTTGGAAGCCTTTAATGCTAATAAACATGTTTTAAACTTTTTTTCTTATAAGGAAAGAATAGGTTTCTTAAGGTTTTGGTGGTCTTTGATGCAAATATGTAGTATGTCTATTTGCTAGACAATAAATATAGGACAGTAATAGCATTATTATAGGTAACATTAACTTACTGGTAGCCAGTAAATAACAGGATGGCAAAAGTATCTCTACTCTGAGATTCTTTTCTTTGGCCTTTTATTCTGCCAATATATGCATGTATCATACCATTTCTTTATATCATACTATGCTTATAGAAATGGTAGTATTTTGGGCAGGGGTGCCTGTGGCTCAGTGAGTAGGGCACTGGCCCTATATACCAAGGGTAGTAGGTTAGAACGCGGCCCCGGCCAAACTGCAACAAAAAAAATAGCCAGGCATTGTGGTGGGCGCCTGTAGTCCCAGCTACTTGGGAGGCTGAGGCAAGAGAATTGCCTAAGCCCAGGAGCTGAAGATTGCTGTGAGCTGTGACCTATGGCACTCTACTAAGGGCAACAGAGTGAGACTCTGTCTCAAAAAAAAAAAAAAAAAAGAAAGAAATGGTAGTATTTTGCAAATGGTGGATTGAACCTTTCTTCCACCTCTCTCCCTCCCCACCAGACCATCGCTGTCAGGGTCCTGCCCCAGGGGCAGGGTCTGCTAAGGGTCTGCTGTGGAACTGGCAACCTACTGAAGAAATATAAAGTTAGAATTGACAATAAGAAAGAGACAGGAGACACAGAATAAAATTTTCAAAGGTGGGAGCTCAGGTAACCACTTTTGTGGGTCCTGGCGAATGGCCTCTAGTCTCTGTTCCACCCAGCTTTTATTCAAATCTCTTTGCCAAGGTGGTAAGCTGAGGGAAGGAACAAAGACAACAACAGTTTCTCTGAGAGCGCATATCAGCTCCTATTGTTATTAGTATTAACTTTTAAGGATTTGAGCAATTTTGAGGAATCAGAAACTTGAACCTTGTGTGGTGGAATTCTCCTGTCTGGAGTCACAGGCACAGATTCTAGAGAGCTGTTAAAACTCTGCTAGTTCACTGTGGAGTAAACCACCACTGGCTTTAATCTCCTCTGAGGAATCCATGGGAGAGAGGCATTTTCCTCATTATCACCATAGTGGTCTTTCCTCTGTGATAAGGGATGTAAGCCCTCCTACCCATATCTCAGGGCTAGAACTGTTCTCTAGGTTTCTGCCCCAGCCAAATGCAAATTTCCACAATGGATATCTGTTTTATCTGTTGAATGGGCAGGAAATGACCTAGAAGATGTTTCTTTTCTAGGACTTGCCATAGTCTCTTCTATGGCCATTATTTTCCACAGAGTGTTCACAAACTCAGCAGGGGTATTTGTGTAAGCTGTATCCCCAACAGGCTAGCGTTTCAGGAAAGGCAGGATAGATAACAAATTCAGATAAGAAACTTAGCAATAGCTGGCTTAAAGGTAAACTAGCTGACTTTTCTTTGTTCTGACTCCTTCAGCTTGTTTTTTAATTTCCCCTTTTTCTGGGTGTGCCCTCCCCTGCCAAGAATGGGGTCCTTGGTCCCCATTCTGCCTGCAGAGACAGAGTCTTACTTTGTCACCTTTGGTAGAGTGCTGTGACATCATAGTGTTATAGAGTGTGAGATTTTAAAGTACTACCAGGGACATTAATTAATTAAAGCCAATTTTAGGAGTCTTTATTAGGTTGGCCAACCGACTGTCCCTCTGTGTGGATAGAGAGGGAACAGCACAGGCTATGAAAAGGGAAGGGTTTATATAGGGTAAATTATCTCTACTATCAGGAGCTACATGCAATTCAGCCAGCCAGTAAGCAAGCAACCAACTTTCTTCATTAGTTTGTTACAAAAGCAAAAAACATTACAGTACTTGCAGTTACAGTATTCACACATCACAAGACTGAGCAGGGAAACAATTTTGCTCTGAACAATGGGTCGGGCAATAATTGCAGTGTCATACTGGTGGCTACTCTGTTTGTTCTTTAACTTTTTTATTTTAGCTACTTTATTTCCTTGTTCCAAGCAAGGGCAAGGGTTATGGGGGGTTTCTTATCCCACCTCACTCCCCTCTTCTGATTCTGGGATGAACTAAATCTTTGTTTCATCTTCTTCATCATCTTGCTTTATATTTTTATAATGGGTTCTCAAGACCAGCAATTTTACTGCCTGCATTCGTTTTTGAATTTATGAAGTGAGACAATTTATTGTGCATGGCTCAAAAGTTAATCCCAGCAAAATGAGAATAAGGGGGCCTGCAATCACTGAAAGGAGTGTTGTTAGCCAGGGTGACCACTGAAACATTCCTTCATACCAATTCTTTGGCCCTAGTTCAGCTCCTCTCCCTTTTAGTCTCTTTCTTCAGCCATGCTATTCCTTATGACTCCTGAATTATTAGTGTAAAAACAGGAATTTTCATCCAAGGCCATGCAAAGCCCTCCTTGCTTTAAAAACAGGAGATTAGGCTCAGCACCTGTAGCTCAACCGGCTAAGGCGCCAGCCA